GCTCTGCCCCCCCGGCCCAGCATGGGATGTGGAACCACCAGGGCCACACCCCGCATGAATGTTTGATGCCCGGTCCCCGTTTGGCAGCTGGGCCTCTGCCCTGGGGTACTGGAGTGCCCCTCTGCCCTCCCAGCCCTGGCCCATATGTCCCCACTTATCTGCCCATCTGTCTCCCAGGCGCCTATCCCACGTGTCTGGCCACCGCTCCTATTACCTGCGTGGGGCTGGAGCCCTCCTGCAATACGGCCTAGTCAACTTCACACTAAACAAGCTCATCCACCGGGTATGAACCAAGGGTGGGAGGGCTGCCTGGAGGGGATGGCATTGAAGCTGAGCTCAGAAGGCTTAAGGCAGTGAGGAGGGGGTGTGATCTCTGTTCCAGTCACTGTTTTCAGAACTTTACATGTATCACTGACACATTTAATTCTTAGGACAACTCTATGAGGTGAGTGCTAGTATTATCCCCATTTTAAAGATGGAAAAATTGAGGCCTGGAAAGGGGAGTAAGTAGGCCAAGTCTTCTCAGCTAGTGTGCAGGCTCAAGGCTAGAGCCTACACTTGTAACCACTGCACTCGCTGCCTCCTGCCTGCATGTAAAGGGAGTGTTGCAGAAACATGGGGTCCATTGAAACTGCAGGGTTAGCCAGGGTCGAATGCATGGGGCATTGGCCATGGTGAGGGACTTGAACATGACCTGGGGAGCCACAGAAAGCTTTAAGCAGGGGAGGGGTATAACTGAACTACACTTCCGGCTGCCTGGTGTGGTATGATGTGTGTGGAAACCATGAAGCACCAGAAGAGGGTCCCAGTGACAGGGACACCGGGGCCTGGGGCCAGCTCCAAGCCCGCTGCTCAGGCCTTCTTCAACTTCCTCTGACATGGAATGGACTTTGGAGTGACAAGAGGGTGCCATTGGCCCATCTGCAGTGTCCCTTCAGGCCTGAGCTTGGGTTCTGGTAGGGGTCCTGGCTGTGCTTCTCACCCCCTTCCTTCCCCCACAGGGCTTCACCCCCATGACGGTGCCAGACCTTCTCCGAGGAGCTGTGTTTGTGAGTGAGGACTCTGCCCTCCACACCAAGCTGTGTGTCAGGCCCCATTTTGGAGGCCAGGCAGGGAGGCCAGTCTGTCTCCCCTGGGGAAACTGCCCTGGGGCTGGCTTGAGGGATCAGGACGGAACAGGGAGGCCACAGTGATTCCAGATGTTTCTAGGGGAGGAGAAAGGGTTGTGACTGCAAAATGGAGGAGTCTGTGGTTATCTGTCCCCTGACCTCTGTGGCTTGGCCTCCTCAGGAAGGCTGTGGGATGACACCAAATGCCAACCCATCCCAAATTTACAACATTGACCCTTCCCGCTTTGAAGACCTCAACCTGGCCGGGACATCGGAGGTGGGGCTTGCAGGTGAGCACCTGCCTGGGGCCAGGGTGGTGGTGAGTACACCTCCAGTGCCCTCAGAGCAGGAGCAATTATAGGGGGGCAACTTAGAGCATCCTGGGAGGTGACGGCTGCCTGCCCAGGATATCTCAGCAGCCCTGGGGCCAACGCGTACAGTTATTCAGGTTGTTTACTGCGCAACAGCCACATGCCTGACACAACGTTGTATCTGCAGAGGGGATACCCCTTCTGATCCTCACAAAAGTTTCCTATGGATGGGGGGGTGGGTCCTGGCTGACCCACCCTGTCCCCCTCTCCTCCCAGGCTACTTCATGGACCACTCCGTGGCCTTCAAGGACCTGCCAATCAGGTGATGCCCAGTTCCTGTCCACCTTGTCCCCACCTGTGACATTTCCTCTCCCTTCCCTGACTCCTGCTCCCTGCTCCTCCAGGATGGTTTGTTCCAGTACCTGCTACCGGGCAGAAACAGACACGGGGAAAGAGCCGTGGGGGCTGTATCGAGTACACCACTTCACCAAGGTTAGTACAGCAGGGACTTTGGGGGGGTCACCCCAACAGCCAAGGGTCTCCTGACTCCTTTGCCCCCTACCCTGCCCCAGGTGGAGATGTTTGGGGTGACAGGCCCTGGGCTGGAACAAAGCTCGCAGCTGCTGGAGGAGTTTCTGTCCCTGCAGATGGAGATCTTGACAGAGCTGGGCTTGCACTTTCGGTGCGGAGGGTGTGGGGGGGTAGGAGGTTGATGCTTCTCCCCCTGCCCCCTTTTCCCTGTGCTAGGATTATATAGAGGCTATCTGCCTGCCTATCAATCTCTGAAGTTTTGATTCGAGTTATGGGATTGTAATTGCAGCATAAGCAGCATGGTGCTCCAGGGTCAAGACCCAGGCCCCTTCCCTCCTGTTGCTCCCTATCCCTAGGGTGCTCCCTCTCATGCAGGCCCAGCCAGCTTCTCACCACCCAGTGGGAAGGTGGGGCACACCCCTTGCCTTTAAGATGTTGGAGGTCTACTTCCCCTGTCAGTCTCACGTAGCTTTCAAAAGATGCTGAGAAATGCAGACTCTTTTCTGGGAGACCCATTACAAAAATATAGGGTGCCATTATTACAGATGGTGGGACTAGCCTGGAGAGGCTGCCACATGCCCTTTCTCCTCCCCAGCCTTGTTTCCTATCAGTCCCTTCCTGCTTCCTCCTCCTTTATCACCTCCATCGCCATCCCTGCCTCAAGGAGGTGTCCCCTTTGCCACTATCTCTTTTTTTTTTTTTTACGTCCGGTGCCCACTTTTTTGGCTCCCTTCTCTTCCAACGCCTCCATTTTTTTCTTCCCTCCTCCTCCCCTCCCCCTGAATTTTCCCTGTCTTTCTCCATGGCTGCAGTGTCCTGGACATGCCCACCCAGGAACTGGGCCTTCCAGCCTACCGCAAGTTCGACATTGAGGCCTGGATGCCAGGCCGGGGCCGCTATGGTGAGGTGAGCTCCCACCCCGGTGGGGACACAGGGTGGAAGGAGTGTAACACCGCCCCCCATAGATGATCCTCTTAGCCCACCCCACCTCCCATCTAGGTCACCAGTGCTTCTAACTGCACAGACTTCCAGAGCCGCCGCCTCCACATCATGTTCCAGACAGAGGCTGGGGAACTGCAGTTTGCCCACACGGTGAGCCCCCGCACTCCTGTGCCTCCCCTGCCTGCACCGCCCACACCACCCACACGACCTCAGCCCTCCCTGGGGCCAGCCAGTGGGCCTCAGCCTGAGCATGCCTCTCTCCCAGGTGAATGCCACAGCCTGTGCTGTCCCCCGCCTTCTCATCGCCCTCCTAGAGAGCAATCAGCAAAAGGTGAGGGGCTGGTGTGGCTCAGTTGGTTGGGCGCTGTCCTGTGCACTGAAAGGTTGCGGGTTCAATTGCCAAGTCAGGGCACATGCCAGGGTTGTGGGCTCTATCCCTGGTGGGGGGCGTGCAGGAGGCAGCCGATTGATGTTTCCCATTTGCATTGGTGTTCCTCTCCTTTTCCCTTCCTTTCTCTAAAAATCAATAAAGAAATCTTAAAAAGGTGGGGGGGGCCAAAGGATCGTACCCAGAGGGGTAGAGGGTGGAGAGCTAGTGCAGCCACAGCATCCTGAGGCCTGCTTTGTCCCCAGGATGGCTCTGTCCTCGTGCCCCCTGCCCTCCAGCCCTACCTGGGCACTGATCGGATCACAGCTCCCACCCACGTGCCTCTCCAGTACATCGGGCCCAACCAGCGCCAGAAGCCCCGGCTCCCGGGCCAGCCTGCCTTGAGCTGAGGACTCGTCCTCATCAGCCACCCAGTTTTCACTGCTTCCTGGAGTTTAGGGGACCCTGGACCCCTAGGACATATGGCCCTGAGCCTGTCCTGACACCTGTATTCCTCATCAGCACCACACCTGGGCCTGTGGACTCCAGGGTCCACCTCTCTTTCCCTGCTGCCTCAGAATCAGTCACCCTAATGTCATTGGGGGGGTCCCAACCTGTACTGGGAAGCAGGACATCTGGGGACTTGAAGGCTCTAGGGGTGGGGGAAGGAGAGAGGCCTCTATGCCTCCTTCCTTCTTCCCTCTCCCCCTCAGTGCTTAGCAGAAGGCCCCCAATAAATGGTCAGAACAATGGTCTTTGTGGATCCGTGAGCAAGGGAGATGGTCCTGGGCGACTTGCGGGGGGTGCGGGACAGTTGCTCAGAAGTGCTAAGTCATCACAGGCCATGGCTGGAAGTGTCCAGCAACACCCAGGGCACATGGACCACTGGGGGAGCTGAGAGGATGCCGATGCCTCTCCCCTTTGGGACAGTGGCACCTCACAATGACCCATTTCAACCTCACCCCTGTCCCTGGCTCCGGGTAGGGGGCCAATAGGCAGCACAGACAGTGAAACCCAAACTTATTCTTCCCTGGGTGTGCCCGTTACTGCACGTGGAGCATCCCAGCTCCTCTGGCCACAGCCCTACAGGTCCTCCTCATCTCCCCTTAACCCACGTCCAGTCTGTCTGCAGACCCAGGCAGCTCCACCTTCAAAATGTTTCCAGAACTCCCTCTCCCATCCTGACCCCTCCATGCTCCTGTCCACTGCTGTCTCCCATGTGGAGAGTCATGCAGCCTCTTTGCTGTCTCCCTGCTCCTTGTCTCACACACAGCCAGAGGGCCCCTGTGACACGGGCATCCAGGCATGTGCCCCCTGCTCAGAGAGCCCTCCTGTAGCTCTAGCTCACTCAGGAAAGGGCAAAGTTGTCACTGTGGCTCACAAGGCCCCTCCTTCTCTTCCTCCTTCCTTACATAGTATTTGAGTATTTTCTGTCACCCCCTTCTCAAATGTCTGCTCCAAGAGGGCAGGGCAGTTTGCCAGTTCCTTCACTGTAGCAGCCTCACTGGGCATATAGTAGGTGCTCAATAAAACTTACAGGACCGAAGGTGCTCCGACCTGAGCAGTTCCCAGTACCCAGAACTGCCTAAATTAGCTTATACACACATTCATTTATTTATTTCTTGCCATCAAGCCTCTCCTGTGGAGTAGATTGTCACAGACCCTATTTTACAAATGAAGAAACAGGAGTCAGGGAGGTAAAGCAATTGTCCCAGTGCTGTAGGTCTGGTAGCTGTGGAGTTGGGAGTCAGGCAGAGCCCAGCCACCACCTCAGGAGTAGGCTATGAGACCCACTTTCCAGATGAGAAAACTGGGGCCAAGGAAGGATAGGGGTCCGATGAGGTCCATCAGTAAATGGCTGCTGCTGGTTTCGAACCCAGGCTGCCTTTCAGCAAGGCCTTAAGCTCAGACCTTGTTTGTTTGTGGAAATCTCCCTATCCCCATGATGTGCTGAGGTCCCAGAAGCCGGAGGGGAGCGGGTGCAGAGCGTGGGTCCCTATGAATAATTGAGGGTCTCAGGCAAGCCGGCGCCCCACAGCTGTTGTCCTGCCTGCGGCAGGAGGGGGCGGCAGTGACGTCACTTCCTCCCTTGCGGGGCCACCACGAGGATTATAAAGAGCTGCTGCCCTGGTCCGCACAGCACTGAGGTCCTCAATCGGGAAGCGCCACCATGCAGCACCGCGGGCCCTCCGTGTTGCTGTTGCTGCCACTGTCCCTGCTGCTGCTGCTGCTGGGGGCATGTGAGTGCCAGAAATCACGGAGGGGGCACCTTGGCAGCCAGTCTGGGGAGCAGGGACTTGGGTGACTGGGGGCTGGGATAGCACGCCCAGTGGGGTCTGATGAGAGACTTAATGGACCAAGCTTCCCTGTGGGGACAGTGCATCTGGCAGGTGGGCCAGGGAGGGGACTGTGCATATCCGGATGCCCTTGGAGCTGGGATCAGCACCGGGGACAGCGCTGGGGGTCCTGAGCCCAGTTCCCACCTCCTTCCTCCACAGCCACCGCTGCTCCTTTGGCGACCAGACCCTCCAAGGAAGAGGTAAGGAGTGTGGACCTCTTGCCCTGCCTCATCTCCCTGGAGTCTTGGCCCTCCCTGCCCAGCCTCCTGCATGATCATCTCTCCAACTGCTCTCCTTACCCCTATCTGCCCTACCCTCAACCTCCCCTCTGACCTTCACCCCCAGCTGACCCGCTGTCTGGCAGAGGTGGTCACAGAAGTGCTGACGCTGGGTCAGGCCCAGCGAGGCCCCTGCACGACTCTCCTACACAAAGGTAAGGAGGGCCCAGGCTCCAGCTCCTCCAGGACCCCCCCGCCCAAGTTCTGTCCAGGGCTGCCTGGAGGGTGTCCTCTGATCCCAGAGCCTCCCTTGCCCCCTCCACTCACTTCCCTCTCTGAAGCCTCTTCCTTCCCCTCCTGCTTGGGCTCAATTCTTGGCTCGCGGAGGAGGTGGCCGTGCCCCTTTCTTGTCCCAGTGCGTCCAGCCTGGCCCCCAGCCCACCCTTGGGGCTCCTCACAGAGATACAGGAGCGGGGTAGGGGATGGCCTCAGCCCTGACCCTCCTCTCCCAGTTCTGGGCAGTCCCCCTGTGGGACTGCAGGTGGGCCCCAGAACTCCTCCAGATGTTTCCCAACTGGTTGTGCGAAAAACATCCTTTGTTTCCCCCAGAGATGTGTGAGACAGAGCCCTACGGCTGTGTGTCCACCGAGGAGAAAGGCCTGCTGGTCGGAGAGTTCAAGAAGCGGGAAGCCGGGGAGACGAGGTCCAGCCAGGAGGTGAGGGAGGAGGCGGCAGCAGCAGAGAGGACCCACGAGTCTGAGGTGCGGGAACAGGCCATCGGCGAGCAGCTCCACAGCCGGCTCCGCCAGGAAGAGGACCATGAGGAGGAGGAGGAGAGGGGGCCCGTGGAGACCTTCGAGGGCCTGTGGAAGCAGCGGCTAGAGGATGGTGGGGGCCCCCAGAAGCGGGTGGCAGAGCAGGCCAGTCACGAGGAGACGGCCCAGTTCGAGGCCGAGGAGAAGGGTGTGCAGGTGCTGGGCGGGGGCCGCAGCCTGTGGCAGGGGGCTGAGGGCCGGGGCAGAGAGAAGCACGAGGATTTGCTGCGCCACCGCCACCACCAGCCGGAAACCGAGTCCCAGCAGGAGGAGAAGGAAGAGGCTTCAGAGAGGGAGGTGAGTGGAGGTGGCAGTGGGGAGTGGGGTCTACCAGATGTCCATGGAGTTCCTACCAAACAGCTACCAGTGTTGGGCCATAAACAGCATGATCCACCATGAATGGGTCACAGTGACCAGGACTAACACCAGGACTAGGTAGCACATTGAAGCAGGGCCTCTACTTAGCCCGGATGGCCACCATTCTGATTACAGTAACCCACATGGCCACCATTCATGCAGTGTCTGAGTTAGCCACCACGCTAGTTCCTGCCGAGCAAATTGGCCACATGAAAAGGCTGCTGTGCCTGTTTCACTGAACTATAGATGGATGCTATTGCTGGGTCATGGAAACTAAGATGTCTCCATGATTGGTGGCAGGAACCAAAATGGCCATCACCTCCCAAATGGGTCACGGCATCCAAGTCGGGCATCTTTGCTAGTCCTATGTATGCTGCTGTTGGCTATGGCAGGCACCATAGCCCTCACCACTGGTCGTGTTGGCCAACATTACCAGGGTTATGGCAACCACTGCGGTCACTATTGCAGCCCATGATGACCAGGATGATTACTGCTGGCTGCCACTGTGTGAGCTGAGATGGCCCACATGCATGGGCGACCACTGGTGTGGCTGCCTTTGAAGGTGGGTGCTGACCACCCCATTTCTGATCCCACCAGGAGCAGGATGTGGAGCGGCTGGAGCACGTGAGAGAGGAGCTGAAGAAGGCCACGGAGATGCTGGGGGAGGAGCTCAGGAGGGAGGGCTGACTCCTGACCTCATGTCCTCCTTCCTGACTCATCCTATGGCTTAGGACTGTTGACCCCCAAAGCCCCCACCTCACCTGGTGCCCCACTCTACTCCCTAACCCGCAGGAGTGGGAGGAGTACCTTGGAACCAGCCTGAGGGGCCAAGTCTGTGCTGGGGAGAGGGGCTAGGCTCATACTGACTCAGGAAACACTCCGCCACCCACGAAACCCACTCCAACCCTTCTGAGTGAATAAAGTACAAAGAAAACCCCCGAGGCTACTGTGCGGCACTCAGTGTTGGAGGGGTGGCGCCTGGGAGTGAAGGGGGGCGCACGGACCGGGAAGGCAACAGCCAATCTAATCTCCAGTTGTCAGAACCGGGGTTTTATTAAATTGGAAATCCTATTAACAATTAAGTCAGATGGGGTCATCAGGGAGAGGTTTTGAAGCTGGGGTAGGTGGCCAGTTTGGGCTCCGGCCACTGTGGACCACGATGTCGTCGTATTCATCCTGGGGGCAGAGGAGGCCAGGCAGAGGGGCTTAGGTGGCTGCCACCTTGCCCACTGCCCATTTCTCCCACCCAACCTAAGAACTGGGTCTTGCCTTGAAACCCACATTTCCCCGCTCCTAGTTCAACTTCCCTGCTCCTAGTTCTCTCCACCATTTTTAAGGTCACCTGTGTTCTCCCACCGCTACTGCTGGAGCTGGAGCCTGGGTGCTTCAGCAGTTCTTCTGCAGCCGCAGCCACTGAGGTCCCCCTCCTTCACCCCTGCCCTCTGCCTTTACCCAAATTCCTCAACTCCCACCATCCAACATCATCCCCTGCCCAAGGGTTTTCCAAAGAAACAGCCTCACCGCTGGCTAAGGTCTCTCCCCACCGCTGCCAGTGTTCCCATCGCTCCTGCCCTAAGTCATCTTCCCACAGCCGAGTTCTCCAACTCCCCCAAATCACTCCCCACACTGCTGCTCTCTGCTGCCTATTTACCAATCACTACAGCGAGGTCTTTTCTCTGCTTCTGCCTGAGTTCTCCCTCTGCCACTGCCTTAATTTCCCGGCCACCCCTGTCCAGGTCACTTGCCCTGCTCGCGTTCCTGCCCGAGTTCTCTAATTGCAACAGCCCAAGGTCAGTCTCCATGTGCTGCCTAATTTCTCTTGTCCCCCCTCCCACCTGCCCATCTACCCTGAGCCCCCAGCTGGGCCGCCCAGTCTTTCCTCCTGACTCACGCCCTCATCCCCGCTGTCACTGTCGCTACTGCTGCTGCAGGGGCCAGGCTTGTCGTCCTCATCCTCAGGTTCAGGGGCTCCATGTGCACGGAGGAGGCGGGCAAGGATGGGGTTGGGCCGGAGCATGGCGCTGCCCAGCGGGGTGCGGCCACCATACATGCGGGCAGCAGGGTCAGCACCTGCCTTCAGGAGAAGCTCCAGCACATCGGCTGCTTGGGCCTCCACTGCCAAGTGCAGGGGGCTCCGGCCACACGTGGGCTCCTGTGGGGTATAGCAGAGAGGTCAGAGGAGGCCGTGCTCCACTCTGGGACAACCCCATCCTGCCACACCTCCTCCCCAGAACAGCTCACCAATTTGTTGAGGTCAGCTCCTGCCTCCCAGAGTAGTCGGACCATCTCTGCATCTTTGTGGATGATGGCCACATGGAGGGGGGTGTGGCCTGGGGACAGAATGACTGACATTAGACCATGGGGGTGAGGGGCCTGGGCCCCTAATGCCACAATCCCAGGGGAGGGCTCTGTGGCCTGAGGGTGACCAAGTTTGGGGTCTGGCTCCTGAATTTCTGGGTATATCAAAGAGGCACCTGCAATGCAAACACCCAAGTCTCAGATGGACTGGAACTGGCTGGCAGTGCCAATGCCTAGGTTGTGGGTCTGGGGCCTGGATCTTGGGGCGAGGAGACCTGATCTCTGGTTTTACTTTACAAAGAACCCAGAACTCAAATTCCTGGGTCCTGAGTAGTTGAAGGACCTGTGAGCTTGGGGGGGCTGGGGTGGACCCTAAACACTGACTGGATGACCTCAGTCCCTTTGTGAAGGGGCCAGGTCCCAGGTAGTTGGACTTAGAGAAGGGAGAGCTGAGACTCAGACACCAGGGCCCTGGGAAAAAGGTCTTTTTTCCCATGAGGGCTGGGGGAAACTAGGCCCAACAACTGGGTTTGGCCTAGGAGCTCTAGGCCTATGGGTTCCAGATGATCGGGAGCCTCCAGGTGGGGGTCCTGGGTCCCACACTGCCAATTCTCAATAATCCGGGGCCTGGGTGGGAGTCTTTGGTCCCAATGCCTGGCTCCCTGAAGACTCAGTATTACTTTCCACAGGCCTGGGTGAGTCAGGAGAGCTGAGCCCAGAGCGAGGCGCTGTCACCTGGCCCTGCTCAGGGACCGGGGACCCTCACCATCGTAGTTTTCAGCTGCCAGCTGCAGCTTCCAGTCTTCCTCTCTCTCATCCTCTTCCTTCTCCAAGTCAGGTTCGAGGTATAAGGGCACAGCGGTGCGGTCGGTGTCAGGGGCGTGGTCAGTGTCAGGGGCGTGGTCAGAGCCCTGAGTGAGGTAGGTGTAGGGGGCTCCCCTAGGTCGCTGGGGACGGGGCTGGAGCAACACTTGAGCGCAGGCGTGTGCCCCCACGCGGCAGGCCAGGTGCAGCGCTGTGTGGCCCCCACGCTCTGCCACATGCAACCCGGAGCCGGCTGTATACAACTTCTCCACCGAGGATGCCTCCCCCAGGATGGCTGCCAGGTGCAGGGCTGTCTGTAGGAGCAGAGCGCAGGGTTATAGGTCACACTGAGAATCCTGGCCCCAAGCTCTACACTAGAGTCCAGTAGCTCACCTGGCCCAGGTCATTCTGCAGGTCCAGGTACTCAGTACCAGCGGCGAAGCCTAGGAGGAAATCCAGGAAAGGCTCATGCTGATGAATCACCGCCAAGTGCAGTGCCCTGAGGACAAGGACAGGGGTTAGAACACGGAGGTCACGTACACTTGGATTCACTCATTCGATAAACATGGAGCACCTACTGTGTGCTAGCCACTGTTCTAGAACCAGTTGTCAGGAATCTGAGAGGGTGAGGTCTGAGTTAATTCAGAAAATTTGTTTAATCAATATTTATTAAGTAGGACTTCTACCTCCTCTCAAACAAGGACCAGATTTCCCTTCCATCTGAGTCAACCAACAAATCAGACAAAACATAGAATACAAAACAACAGTTTTCAAAATACTGCACAAGTGTGTCATGCAATGGATGATAGTGAGACAGGAAACAAATGAGGTGAAGCCTTCGACTGCCTGCCACAGCTTACTGTCTTGAGAGTTTCCAAGCCAAGGTGCAGGAAGAGGTAACCCAGGCAGGGCTGGCAGATTGCCTGAGGTGAGAAAATGGAGCCCAATGTGTGCATGTGTGGGTGGGGGGCAAGCAGCTAGAGTCAGGAGATAGAGCACCCGAGAGGACAGCTGCAAAGGAAGAGGCTCCGGACTGCTGCAGAGGAGCCTTTCGAGTATTTAGGATACTGATCAGGGAATGGGCGTGGGGAAATGACCCCAGTCTGAAGGAAGTATCATCCAAAAGGATTAGAGAAGTATACCCATTGCTCACATGAGGCTGCGAATAGTGCCTACTATTCCCACCAGCCAGAATCGGAAAAATCCATCATTCCCAGAACACTGAGTAGAATGTTCCAGAATGTCTTACCTCAGTAGTGGGGAATGATGAGTGCTAGATGGAACACTGCTCAGGACCCATTTAACAAATCATAAAAGCAAAATCCCAAAGGATCAAACTACTTATAAGTAATTTAGCTGTAACCCAGGACAATACTCAAGAATAGAAAAAATATTTATAGGAACACAAAACTAACCAGCCTAACAAGGTAAAACCCACAATGCCTGGCATCTAATCAAAGATTATCAGGCATGCAAAGAAGCAGGAACACCTGACCCATAATTAGAATAATCAATCAAATGAAGTTGGCCTAGAAATGATCTGGATGTCAGAATTAGCAAACAAAAATACCAAATTATAATACCAGTTCATTATAATTGCGTCTCACATATTCTGAAAGTTAAGTAGAGACATGGATGATAAAAGAAAAAGATTCGAATTGAACTCGACATAAAAACTCCAGCATCTGAAATTAAAAACGCACTAGATGGAATTAACAACAGATTACACATTGCAGAAGAAAAGATCAACAAACTTGAAGAATTCACAACAGAAACTCTCCAGAATGAAACACGAAGAGGACATTTAAAAATGAAAGCACAGCCCAGCTGGGTGTGGCTCAGTGGTTGAGCGTCCACCTAGGATCCAGGCGATCGGGGTTTGATTCCCAGTCAGGGCACATGCCCAAGTTGTGGGCTCGATCCCCAGTCAGGGGAGTGCAGGAGGCAGCCGATCAATGACTCTCTCATCATTGATGTTTCTATCTCTCTCTCTCCCTCTCCTTTCCTCTCTCTGAAATCAATAGAGATATATTTAAAAAAATAAAATAAAATAAAAAAAGGAAAGCACATCAGTGAGCTGTGGGACAATGTACCTAAAGAGCTGGATAGAAAAAATATTTGAAGAAATAATACCTAGAAAATTCTCCAAACTTGCTGAAAACTCTAAACCATCAGAGCCAAGGTGAATGACTGCCAAGAACAAGAAATACCAAGAAAATGACACCAAGATCCATCACTTAAAAATCTGTTCAAGCCCTAGCTGGTCTGGCTCACTGGTTAGAGCGTCGGCCCATGGACTGAAGGGTCCCGGGTTCTATTCCGACCAAGGGCACGTACCTCGGTTGCAGGCTCAGCCCCGGTTGGGGCACAAGTGGGAGGCAACCACTCGATGTCTCTCTCTCACATCGATGTTTCTCTCTCTCTCTCTCTCCCTTCCACTCTCTGAAAAACCAATGGAAAAAATGTCATCAAGTGAGGATTAAAAAAAAAAACCTGTTCAAAACCAATGATAAAGACCAAAATCTTAACAGCAGACAGAGAAAAAGATACCTAAGTAGTACAAAGAACTAGAAATAAGTATGACAGCAGATTTCATCTAGGGAATACTGCAAAACATCACAATGGAGCAACATCGTCCTCAAAGACAATGACTGTCCAACCAGAATTTTTAACGCAGCAAAAACAGCTTTCAAAAACAAAGACAAAATACAGATGTTTTCAGATACACAAAAGCCGAAGGAACTCATCACCAGCAGCCCCACACCACAAGAAATGGTAAAAGAAACCTGCAAGCAAAAGGAAATGACATCAAATGGAGTATGGATCTACACA